AGGACTTTACACATTTTCATTTTGCACTGGGCCCCATAAATTATGCTGTTGGTCCTGCCCCTGAACCAGAGGTGTGGTTTGTCCTTGGAGGAACTCCCCTGGCCCAGCCTCACTCAAAATGCCTCAAGTGGAGGGTGAACACAGAGCTGGGAGAAGCTGGTGTCTGATGGGCTTCCTGGGAGTCCCTACCCTACGGCTGACTGTGCATGTATGGGGTTGGGAGAACTTGGCTGCTCTGTCCTGTCAGCCTCGATCTCATCCACAGGCCTGCACTTTGCCTGTCTATCCATCTATGTGCCCTTCACTGATCCAGGCCAGCGGTATATATGTAGGGGGTGCCAGGCCACAGGACTCCTGGTCCCAGTTGGAGTTCCCTATCATTGGGGAGACACAGCCCCTCTGCGTACACCCACCCCTGCCCCCACTAGAGCGGGAGGGGCTGGCGGAGAGGTAGGGTGGGAGGCTTAATTAGCAGGCCCAGCCAGGCAGCAGGCGGTGGGCACAGAGCAGGCTGACTTTTCCCGCTATAGATCTGCTCTCCGGGAGAGGCACTGGCTGGCTGGCTTAGGCTTTGGCTGGGCTATTTTAGGAATATTCTTAACTCTTCCTGCGCCACTGCTATCACTGGACCTCTCTTCCAGAGCACATGCCAGCTCCAGACTGTCCTCCTCCTGATCCCTCCTCCCAGTCCCTGCTCTTCCTTTCTGGCAGCTGAGAAGGTCACACTTTTGGTCTCCCTGAACCCCCTTATTTTTGCTCTGCTCTCTGTCCTCTCCCTCACCCCCTCATCAGAACTCTGGACTAAGAAGATTGGCAGATCTGAGCATCACCCCAGCCTCTCCTTCTCATCTTATTGAGATAGTTAGCCACTCCCCACCCCCCATGAAAACAGCTGTCCTGGGCCCCCAAGAGGAGATGGGAAGCCACAGTCCTGGCTTCAGTCCTCTGGCAGAGCAGCAGCCCCTGCCTGCCTGCCTTTGATGCCCCATGAGGGTGTTCACACAAGCAGCCAGAGGCCCCACAATGTCCTGGGGTTCCCTCTTCCTCTTTTTTTCTCCCACTCCATTGTCTGGCTTCTTGGACAAATCTAAACCAGGATATAAGCATACCTGGACAAGGCCAACAGGAGTCCCACTGGGGGCCAGGAGGGTCCAGCATTAATAAATCTGAAATTCTTGCCAAGACATGGGAAGAGATCTCAGCTTACTTGGCGTCAGGGTTCCTGTGTCCAGGAGGCCCGAGACACCCTGGACTTTGGTGCCATCCCTTAGGCCCACGTCTTCTGGGACTAGGAGTTGGAAGTTGCCACCAAGCGCTATTGGGAAACTTGACTTGGAGATCCAGGCATACAGCTAGCTGATGACTCCACACGAATGCCCAAGGGACTTGCGGTGTACCTGCCACTGAGCTGGGCACTGGCAATAGAGGGTCAATAATCATCAACCTCTGCCTGAGAAGGTTCACCACGGTATCTGACCACCAGCCTGGCCCATGATGTTGACGGACTGGGGAAAGTGAGCCCGCCCCACAGGTGCCACCTAATTCCCCCTCCTCTGGGTTCCCATAGCCAGCCCAGATCCAGAAGTGACAGGGCTGTCTGGGGGCAGAGGATGAGGCCAGATTAAAGCGCTTTAGTTCCCCTCAGGGGTTATAGAGGGGGCTCTTGCAATGGGGATCACCGAGCTGCCAGTCTTCAAGCCTCCAATTTAGAAAGATCCAGATGGATATATCAGGAGTCCTGGGAAGATTTTGAGTTCAGAGAAATAATACCCTCTAGGCACTCAGGAAGAATTCTGTGTCTTTTAAAAAGTAAAAAGACCCCTCCCTTTAACCCTAATAGAGAGACATGAATAGGTTGGCTGTGATGGGGGCCCTGTCCCATCAGATAGGGGCAGTGCAGGCTTCTTGAGGCAGAGGCATAGATGAAGAGCTTTTTTTTGGGTTCACAGTTCCTGGTGAGGACACACTGGACACACAGACTAACCTTTGGCAAACTAGGAACTGAACCCCGAAGTCCTGGCCGCCTGCCTCTCCCGTGCAGCCTCACCTTTCCTTCTGCCCTGTTCCTTCCCCATAGCTTCCAGGCCAGGAGCTTCCAGCTGGTGGAGGATGTCTTGCTCCTCAGCAGCTGGGATTTGTAAATATTTATAGGAACATGGACCAGATCAGTGGCTGACAGGCCCAAGGAGTGGGCAGGGGGCCTGCCCAGAGTTTAGTAGCTTCAATTTCCCTTCCCCACACTCTGATCTGATTTGAGGGAGCCCAGGATGACAGAGATGGGGGTAATCAAGCAGGGCATGGGGCTGGCAGCCTCCACCTTCAAAAAGACCAGCTCAGAGGATGTGTTTTCCATCTGCCCCTGGCCCTGCTTCCACATTCAGTCACTTGCATCCTTCCACCTGCAACCGACTCCCCCTCGTGCACACACTGACCCTGCCCTCACACACATTCTTTCAACACTCACATATATATGCTATCACGCTCATGTGTATATACATGTTTTCTAACTCCCGCATCCACATCAAGGCTCCCTCTTCTGCTTACATCTTTGCAGACACACCAGCTCACTCACAAACCCATTCATTGGAGTCCCAGACCCCAGCCATTCCCCACAGGTATTAATCACAGGTCCTGGGAGGAAACCTCCTGTTTCCTGTCTGAGGTGGTGTGTGTATGTGTGTGTGTGTGTGTGTGTGGAACCTCCTGTTTCCTGTCTGAGGTGGTGTGTGTGTGCGTGCGTGCGTGCGTGTGTGTGTGTGTGTGTGTGTGTGTGTGTGTAGGGAGCAGATGGGACTGGGTCCTGAGGTCAGGGGGCGAGGAAGAGGGAGGAGGAGTGGATAGAGGTGTGGACCGACGACCATTCAGAGCTGATATCAGTCCAGAACGGAAGCATGACAGAGACAAAGACAAGCCAAGGAAATGAAGACTGACAAGAGTCAAGACAGATGGGGCAGGAGCTGGGGACAGAGGGCCCTCCCAAAGAGAAGCTGTCACGTTGCTGCTCCAGTGGCCTGTGAGACCAGCAGCACCCCCCAGCTGGAGCCTCTCCCCTCTAGATCTTGTCACTGTGGCTTTGCTTTGCTGCTTGGGCAGCCGGGAGTGGTGACAAGCAGGGAAGACAGTGCCCAAGGCAGCTGGCTCTGCCACTCTGGCCCGGCTGCTAACTCACCCATCAATGCCCATCTCATCACCCACAGGGGCCCAGATGAGACCAGTGACTGGCCTGGCTGCCCTTACCTCTCAGAGCCGCAGCGGGGAGAGAGAGGCAACTGAATCTCCCTCCTTGAACGGTGAGCCGTGCTAACCAGACTTTGCCTAGACCCCTGGCCCCTGGAGCTGAGCTTGGGAACCATGGGCTGACTCTTTGCTCCTGGCCCCGAGACATGAATAGCAACTGGTGCATAAGGCAGGGCTTGAGGAGGGGGCTGGGGAAGAAAGCCACTTTGAGGAATCAAACATGTTTTTGGTATAAATTTTTTATTTCATCTGCTTTACCATGCACAAGAATAATGTCCCCACACCCCATGCCCCTAGGTGCTCTGTTAAATAATTGTTCTTCTTACTTGGGGTCTGTTTCAAGGTATTTGTTCTGGGGCATCAATCAGTTTATGCACTGGAACAACCATTTCTATAAAATCAGAAATGCAAACGAATAATAATAATAAGCAGGAGAAGTTGCACTGGCTATCGTTTTCCTGTTTTTATTGGTCACTCAGTGCAGTTTTCCACTCAGGTTTTGACATCCTGATTAATTCATGCTTTCACGGATTCATTCATGTATTTATTCAACAACCATTGTTCATCCAGGTGCCAGGTCCTGTGCTGCATCCTGGAAGCCACTGCAAAAACCAGACAGGGTTCTTGCCAGCACAATGTTTAGAATCGATGGAAGAATACAAACACACAATGAAGTGCGATGTCCCCAGGGGGCCAGAGAGCAGTGTCTGGATGCCCTGCTTGGGGACCCAGATGTCTTGCTCTTCTAGCTGAATTCTCAAAAATGACCCAGAATCTCCCTCTCATCCCAGGATCATCTCCTTCGCACCCCTCTCTTGTCTCTGCAGGTCTGTCCTCCTGGGCAACCAGGCCATCTGAGAATGGTGGAGAGTATGAATGTGAAACTGAAATCTCAGTTTGGACCCTCACTGGCTGGGTGACCCCAAGCAATCATTCATCTCTCCAAGTTCCAGTTTCTTTCTCAGTTAAAACACAGCAACTAATCCCCATCATTATGGTGTCATCAACATCAAATGAGATTAAGTATAGAAAATACCAAAGATGATACCTGGCACATAGTAGGGCCTTAACTCATACTAACCTCTTCCCTGCCCCTTTGCCAGTGGTAGACACTATCTCTCTTCACTGACAAGGGGAAGAAACTGGGGAGGAATTGCAGGGTACGAGAGACCCATCATTCCATACACCAGGGGTCCCCAGCACCCCCGGGCTGCAGACTGCTAGGAGGTCCAGTACCAAAGATGATACCTGGCACATAGTAGGGCCTTAACTCATACTAACCTCTTCCCTGCCCCTTTGCCAGTGGTAGACACTATCTCTCTTCACTGACAAGGGGAAGAAACTGGGGAGGAATTGCAGGGTACGAGAGACCCATCATTCCATACACCAGGGGTCCCCAGCACCCCCGGGCTGCAGACTGCTAGGAACCCTTGGCCAGTTAGGAACCAGGCTGCAGGCACAGCAGGAGATGAGCCAGTGAGTGAAGCTTCATCTGTGTTTGCAGCCGCTCCCCAGCACTAGCATCACCACCTCAGCTCCACCTCAGATCATCAGGCATGAGATTCTCACAGGAGCACCGGTCCCTGGTACCAAAAAGTTTAGGGTCCGGTGCCATACACCACGAATCTATGCCTCATGTCATTCTCCCAGGAAGTCCAGTTCCGCTCTGAGGGGAGCCTCTTATTTGGGGGGAGGAGGTGGAATGGCCTGGCTTTGCCGCGTGGCCCACATGAACATTCCAGAGAAACAGCCCCTTTCTTCACCTTTTCCTTCCGTCTGGCTCTCAAGGTTAAAACAGCATATTGTGTGTGTGGTGGTCGTGAGATGGCAGTGATGGTGATGATGATGGCGATGCTTGTGGTGATAGGGCTGGTGATGGTGAAGATTGTGACGATGATAATGACGGTGATGGTGGAGGTAGTTCTGATGGTGGATGGAGGTGGTGATGGTATTAGTGGTGATGGACGTGGTGATGGTGGTGGTAGCAACTCATTTCAGAATCCTACGTTCAGATTTTGAGAGCTAGATGATAATTCAGTTCTAGCTAATCCACTGAGGGCCTACTATGTGTGGGCCCTGTAGTGCTCGCTTTATTTCCACAGCAATTCACGGAGATTACTGACTCCTTTTGCAGATAAAGACACTGAGGCCAGGGATAACAAGTGACCTGGTTACCAGCTTAAGCTAGTAAGACATGGAGAGGTACTTAAACCCTGGATCCTTTGACATAGGAATCCCCATGTTCCTTCTCTATGCCATCTTGAAGCCACCCACATTTCACAATAGGAGACATGGAGAAGCAAGGAGGTTAACTGATTTGCCCAAGGTCATGCAGCTGTTTGAAGCAGAGCCTGGCTATTTTCTCTGCATTTCTAGGTCTCAGCAGCCTTGCCATCACCAGGGGCTGGGTCTCACTGAGGAGGAAATCAGCATCGAACTCCGTATAGCCATGACAGAGGCCCAGAGCCCAGACCTCCGCAGGCCTCTGGGGCTGGTTCTGTATCTGCTGTCCTCCTGACCCTGTACACTGTCAACTCCAGTCTCCGCCTCCAGCCTCAGAGTGAGAGTGACAGACACCCAGCTGTTGCCTGACCCATTACACTTGACATCCCCTCCCCCAGATCTGACCGTGGGCCTCCTTTGTCCTGTACACCATGCTGCAGCAACTCTGACTGGCACTAAAGAGGAAGGACAAGGGCTGGCACTCTACCCTCATCCCTGTCTGAGCTCTGAGGTGATGAGCTTGGGGGTCCAGTCACTTTGCTCTTCTTTTCTGGTCCTGGACCTTAGTCTCCTGCTCAAAACAATGGCTAGCTCCACCTTGATTTCCTACACCCCCACCCTTAGGAGTCAGTGAAAAAGGGAAGAGGAGAGAAAGAACTATGCCCAGGCTGCACACTGTCCATAGACTTCCTCCCCCAGGAAGCCTTCTGGACTCATCCCACACAGTTCCACTCTCCCTGACCTCTCTGACCATCCATTCAATCTCAATCTATGTGTCTGACTTTAAGTCTGAGTCATGATGATGATGATGGTGAGCTAGTACAGGTAGTGGTGATGGTGGTGGAGGTGGTGGAGGTGATGGTAATGGTGGGATAGCGATGTTGGTGATGGCGGTGGTGATGGTAGGGATGGTGATGGTAGCTCTTGGATGATCAGAGGAAGGTTGGACCTCCTGCGGGGAGGGCGGTTGACTGGTCATTACCTTCTACTTCTTCCCCCACCTCTTTAATAAAGAATAGCTATAACTTATTGAGCGTTGCCTATAAAATAGGTGCATGCTCAATACTTTATGAGTAATAATTCATTTAACCCTCTCAACAACCCTGAGGCAGGTACTAGTATTTTAGAGATGAGGCAGCTGAGGCACAGAGAGGTTAAGTCACTTGCCCAAGGTTATACAGCTAGCAAATAGCAGAGGCTAGACTCGGTCACATCCTCGTACCAGATTCTTGACTCCTGCCCTCTACTTCTGCCTCCCAAGTAGAGCTCCATGCATGGAGGAGAACTGTCTAGGTGTGTGTGTGTGTGTGTGTGTGTGTGTGTGTGTGTAAAAAATAGAGAGAGAGAGAGAGAGAGAGAGAGAGAGAAGGGGACTTTAGGGGACCCTCGATCTTGGAGTTTCCATGGCCAAGCCATGCCATTCTATCTTCCTGCCTCCACCTCTCGGGAGCACTGACAAGGAGATGAGGGTCATGGGTGTGTGGGAGAGGCTAGATTCCACCAGGTGGTGGTCACAGAATTGGGGGGTAGGGGGACTCTGCTTGACCCATGTGAGGGCGCTCACCCCAGCTCCTGGCTAGGGCTCCCAGCCTCAGAGCGCCATCCTGCCAGCCTCCCTCCCTCCCAGGATCTCATTATATCCCTAAGAGAAACTGACAGCCTCAATATCTTACTTTGCAAATATAGTTTATTCCTTCAATAAAGCCGCCTGCGCAGGGGAATGTTTAAGCCCCGCTCTCCCCCGAGAGCCTTATTTGAATTTCTAAAGTCTTTAGTCGGCTCCTCCAATGGGGCAGCTGGGTAATGAAAACGCAGCCAGCTTATAGCAGGGGATTCATTTCCTGTCCGGTCTGGTCTGATCTCCGCTGTCACTGCTAATGGACTGACCCACCGAAGGGAGAACCCCTGGCTACTTGGATGCTGTGGGGGAGGAGGCAGGGAGGCCTGGTATGGGCCTGAGCACCCAGGACTCCTCCACAGGGTCTCTATGCCCAGGGACCCCTAGACAGCATCCCTCAGGCCAAGATGCTCCCCCAGAGGCCCAGCTCACCAATCCCTGGGAGTGAGGCCTCCTCCCTGGCTGGACCCCATCACTCCAGGGCAGCCCCTATCCTGGGCCCCCATGGGAGTCTCTAATTAAAAGACCGGCACGCCCCTCAGGGACTCATTAGGCCTGCTGTGCAGAGAACATTTAATCATTGCTCAGAGCATCGATTGGAAAATCAATTTCTTTGTCTCTCCGCACGCGGCGTTGGAGAAGTGGGGGGAGCGCTGACCTCCTTCTGCTGCCATGTAAAGTGCTGCACATTTAATCAGGGAACAGAAATCAATTAGCCACTTACGAGGTTGGCTTTAGTTACCGAGTCGGCGGGGCCCTCGCTCGAGCTCAGCCACTGACAGAAGTGAATCTCTCCCTACCCTGCCTGGCAGCTGCTCCTAGACATCCCCCTAGCTTTCCGGGGGGCCCCTCCCCACGCTGGACACCTCTCATCCAGACAGACCTCCTAAGAGCCCCAGTGAAGTCCTGGGATGGCTCCTCAAACCCAAGCTCACGGTCACAGCCTTCCTGGATGACCCTCTAGCCACAAACTCTGACTCCGAGAAGCCATGTGGAGACTCAACAGAGGCCCATTCGAACCTCAGCTTTGCTCCCCGCTGGCTTCTGTGATGTCAGGGAAGCTTCTTAACCATGAAATGGGAATAATAATCGTACCCACCTCACCAGAGTGGGGTGAAAATTCAGTGAGACCATCTAAAGTGCCTCCAAAAGAGTTGAGGCTCAAGAAAGAGAATTTTGCACTCACACCCGTGCGGTGGTGTCTTTTCAGAACCACAGTCAGCCAGGTCCGACAAGGGACAGTGTGGGTGTGAGCCAGGGGCCTCTGGCCACTGTCCTCTTCCCTCAGGACCGGGCAGGTGGGCCCAGTGCCCTCCTCACCTCTCCATTTTCCCCATGGCCTTCTGGGAGCTCGAATCTGAGTCACCTCTGTAGCCATTCTCCCGCTCCTACCTGTGCACCCCCACCCGGCCGCACTTTCTGGCTGCTCCCTCACCCATGAGGATGTGTCTGCCTCACCTCTTTGCCCGCCCCACACAGCTCCGAGGGGACAAGCTTCCCAGTGATGTCTCATGCACCCAGGTTATGTACACCCAATTACACAGAGTTGTACACAGTCTGCACGCCCCATTACACATGGCTTCGCAGTTTCTCCCAGTCACAGTGACAGGACTCCCAGTCCTCTCACACAGGCGCACACACTGGCTTTCCCAAACTCACACAGCCGTCCCCACTGCTGGCTGCACATGCAAGCACCCCTGCCCTGTGTCACACGCATGGGCTCGCCCAGGCTCACCTGCAGGTCCCCCACCTGCAGAGTTGCACACTGGTGGCACACATGCTCACACGCACACACACGCGTGCGTACCCATTCTGTAATAATATTAGACATGCCATTTCTTTTGCATGACAGTTCCAGTGGAGATGCTCAGAGCTGTCACTTGGATGAAAAATAATGCATAATCCTTGTCTTCCTTCCTTCCCTTCCCTTTCTTTCTTCCTTGTTTAATGAGCTCCTAAAAATATTCCTTGCTGTCTCGCCGAGGCTGTGGGCTAAGTGTGAGTCAAGCTTCCCTACTCCCTCCCATCCCCATTCCCTCCTGTGGCCCCCAAGTGGGCTGCAGGATAAAGGGTCACAGCCAGTCTTAGTGCTTGGCCATGCCAGGTCAGGCAGAAGGGCTCTCTCCCAGGCCTCTGCAGATCTCTGACTCTTGTCCCTCCCCTCCCCTGGCTAACCCACCTGAGCTGGGAATGAGGGAGGCAGGTGAGGCACGGGCGGGAGCAGGAAGAAAAGCAGAAGCCTTTCTCAGGTTCCTGATCACCTTTGGCAAACTCCTCTTCCGCTCCTGAGCAGTCGCACAGGAATCACCCCATCCATCATCCCTTCCACCTCAGGAGGAAGGGGCCTGCGTGTAGCCACCGTTCCTTCTCCACCTCCTTGCACACTTGCTTCCTTCTCCCTCTCAGAACTCAGAGGGAGGAATGGCTTCCCCGAACCCCCGGCTTCTACCAGCACCTGATTCTGGCTCTGCTGGGAAAACTGCAATTGTCACGGCTTCCTCTAATTCATCCTTCAAGCTCTAGAGCTAAGTCACCTCCTCCCTGAAGCCTCCCTGATTCACACAGAAGGAGCTATTTGTTCACTGTACATATTGACACGCTTTAATAATATGAAATTTACTAAGGAGAGGCAATCGCATATCATGCCCGGTGGGAACTTTGTCTCTCTGTGGGACTCTCCACTGTGTGTTTTGTTTCTTATTTACATATGTCACTCCCACCGTATCTGAGCTCCTTCAGGCTGGAACCTGGCTGGCCTGATTGGATGAATGGGTAGATGGACGGATGGACCGGGGGTGATGTAGAGGGAAGAGCTCAGAGCCGTGAGTCAGGGGCCTGACAGTTCACCTGGTTTCCATGAACATTTACTGTGACTTTGGGAAAGGCAAAAGCCCTCTCTGGGCCTCAGTTTCCCCATATGTAAAATAGGAGAGCCAGGCCAGGCGGTGTCTGATGTCCGTTGCAGCTCCGATAATCCTCACTCTGTGATTCTCCACAGTGTCAGATGGACTTTAACACCCCATCCTACTGTGTGTGAGGGGCTGGGGCGCTGTGCTGAACGTGGCACGGGGCGCTCGGCACAGTGATCTGGGGCTTTATTTTCCCAGCCTTTCCTCTGCCTCCCACCTCTCCCATACCTATTTCTTTGCTACGGTTTCCTCAATTCCACTCCCGTAGCTTCGTATCGTTCTCTGTCCCTTCTCTTGCTTTTTCTGGGCCTGCGTCCTACCCTTTAGTAGCTCAGAGCAAGTGCCCTCCCCACTGCCCTTCCTTGGTCTTTCCTCCCCCAGCTCCACCTGCTTCAGGAGCCCCCTCCCCACAGGCCTCCCCATCTTATCCCAGCAGCTCCAGTCCTGAAAGGTTAAGCTAATAGCAGCTGCTTTCCCATCAGCTGCTCTTGTTTGCTCTACATAATTGCAGGAGAGGGGGCAGGGCGGGGAGCCCTCTGAGTGGTAGCGGGTGTATAGGGAGGGGGCTGCGCAGCCTTGTCCCTGGGAGGGGTGGGCACTGTGGGAAGGTGGCACTTACAGAAATGAGATGGGAGGTTGTGTAGGAACTGATCACTTGGGACAAGAATTGGGCAGAAGGCCCAGCTGTGGCAGAGTTATCTGGAGAAGGGAAAGTGGGGTCCAGGAGAAGAGCTGTCAGAGATGTTACTATTACTGGGAAGAAAATAATAACAATAATAATAGCCATGAGTAACATTTGTCAAGCAGGTACTGTGGGTTTAGGTCCTATACCAAGACTGGTTTATCTCGCTGATCTTCACAATAGCCCCAGGATGCAGGTTCAGCTCTTGTGCCCATTTTACAGGAAACTGAGGCTCCAGGAGGTTAATTGTTGCCCAAGGTCACATGTTGCTAAATGGCAGAGGCTCAAACGGAGACTGCTCTTATTCACAACTTCTGCTCAGAGAGGGTCGGCATTTGCAGGGATTTGGGAGGCCATTAGGTCCAACCCACTCATTGTCCAGAGGGACAGAAAGAAAGGGACTTGCCCAAACTCAGAGAGCAAGTTATTGTCATAATTGGGCTGAGGATTCAGGTCTGATGCAGAGGGCGTTGCTCCCCTTCTGAGCCTCAGTCCCCTTGGAGACTTTCTGTGGATGGGGTGCTTGGGTGAGGGGCGCCAAGGTAGACAAGGCAGGCCTCCTGGTGGATGGTGTCGACCTGAGTGAGCATGGTGTGGGCACAGAGAAGGGGCAACGCCTCCTCTCCACCAGGGTGAGCAGCCCTGGCCTCCTGCTGGTGTGAGAATCTTCAATAATTCATCAGGGACAGAGCGGAGCCTGGAGGAGCTAGCGGAAGGTAGGGTGGGGAATGTCACAGCCAGTGGCAGTGAATTTAGGCCAGTACCAGAAAGCTGGAGATAGGAAGTTAGCATGCCTAGGTCCTTGGGCCAAGCCCTCTCAGCTACAGACTTGGGGCCATGCTGGCCTCCACATTCCTGCCTCCCATCTCGGAGCTGGGGGACCACACATGGGCTCCAAACACAATAACTTGTCTCTTATTTTTCTCCCAAGGGATGGCTTCTCTTGGGATAGACATTGTTTTCTCTTTTAGACTTGGGGACCCCCTAAGACAAGAACTGCGTCTCTATCATCAGATTGGTGCTTCCAGGGTAGGGATTGAGTCTCCCCCATCAGAGTGGACATTCACCTAAGACGGAGATTGTGCCTCCCCCATCGGACTACTTCCCCTCCAGCCTCCGCCCCTGCGATCTGATGGTCACAGCAGCTCTAATGTTGGCTCCATCCTGATCTATCCCTGGCCCTACCTCATAGCAATAAATAATCCTGTCTCTGCCTGGCTTCTGCCTGGGTACCCACCAGACTTTCCTTGCAGTGACCTGCTAGGCTGGATGTGGCTCTCCTCAAGTTAACACTCTTCCTTCTGCCTGGCCCCTTAGCAATAGCGAGCACAGGGACCATCCTTCTTTCCCTTCTTGGTAAGCATCCATGGGCCCCTGGCTGGTTACGGCCATTTCCCACCATTCACACCACTAATGGGACCCTTGACGACAATGTAG